CTTTTCCCCCATCCCCCTCTGGGGAGCAGCCCTTTTGCACCGCCACTCTCTCCTTCCCGCCTCCTCCCCCGGGGGGCTCACTGCCGGGGGGGGGCCCGTCGTCGGCGTTTTGTCCATGGGACATCGTTGGCAGCGGCTGCCCGGGGTCTCCGGGCTAGTAGGGGCCACAGTCAGTGTTCCCTCCAAGCTGAGGTAGTGTGAGCTAGCTCACAGTTTTTTAGCCTCCAGCTCACACATTTTTGCCTTAGCTCAGGAAGGAGGGCTCCGGAGCAGACTAATTGATGCAGCAGCCAAATTGCTCGCTCACAACTTGAATGCCACGAGCTCACAGAGTAGAATTTTTGCTCACAAGACTCTGCAGCTTAGAGGGAACATTGGCCACAGTTCTCCGGACTGTCGGAAGTGTGGTATCTGTAGACTTTATTCCTTGGGACCGTTTTTTGCCCCTTCTGCAGAGGCAAGGCCAAGCCAGCCTTCCCCAGGGGGCTTTCTCCCGGCCTGGGGCCCCTCTCCTCAGGCACTGCCTGGGGCACAGCGCTCTTTGCTGGTGGCCGTGGGGCTGCAGCTGTGGAAACCCCTCTTCGGCATGGCGCTCACCTCACAGCCTTTCCTCCTCTCTCTCTCTCTCTCTCTCTCTCTCTCTTTTCTCTCTCGGGAGCAGATAATTCATCCACTCAAGTGTACAACTATCAGCCCTGTGACCACCCTGAGCACCCTTGCGACAGCAACTGCCCTTGCATCATGACCCAGAATTTCTGCGAGAAGTTCTGCCAGTGCAATCCGGACTGTAAGGGCCAAGGCACGGGGAAGATTTGCCAAGCGTGGCGGGGGGGGGCCTCCTCTCCTGGGCAGTTTTCCTCTTGAGTCCCTTCAAAGCTTGCCTGTCTCTCCTGCAAGGCCAGAACCGCTTCCCTGGCTGCCGGTGCAAGACCCAGTGCAACACCAAGCAGTGTCCGTGCTACCTGGCGGTGCGGGAGTGCGATCCAGACCTCTGCCTGACTTGTGGGGCCTCGGAACACTGGGACTCCAAGGTGGTTTCCTGCAAGAACTGCAGTATCCAGCGGGGCCTGAAGAAGGTCTGTCCCGGGATAGGAGGAGAGGGTGGCGGCTGCAGTGTTCCCTCTAAGCTGAGTCGGCGTGAGCTAGCTCACGGGTTTTTTTAGCCTCTGGCTCACACTTTGTTGCCTTAGCTCAGGAAGGAGGGGCTCCGGGGCAAACTGATTGATGCAGGAGCCAAATTGCCTGCCCACAACTTTTAATGCCAGGGGCTCACAAAGGAGGATTTCTGCTCACCAGACTCCACAGCTGAGAGGGGAGCATGGGTGGCGGGGGGGACTGGGAAGCGGTGCTGAGGGGGGTGGACTGTTGCCCCTGCTGGGCGGGGGAGCTCCCCTGGGTGTGGCTGGCTCATTCCCCTCCTGGGAGCCGTGGGAAGGGGCTCCAGCCCCATAGAGTGAAGGCTGGATTGAAGCCCTTGAATGGTGAACAGTGTAGGCTGCTTTGTCCGAAGGGTGACGGGGGGGGGGGGGGTTTATCACCACCCCCACGAAGACGCTTAGACGTGCAGAGGGGCCGCTCCAGGGCTTGGGTGTGCTGCTGAGCCCCGGGCATTCTCGGCGGCAGGCAGGCTCCTCGGGGCGCCTGGCGGGGCTCTGGGATCCCCGACCCCTTTGGGACTCCCTTCCCGTGAGCCGAGCAGCAGCATTGGCCTCTTCCTCTTTCAGCACCTGCTGCTGGCTCCCTCCGAGGTGGCTGGCTGGGGAACCTTCATCAAGGAGGCCGTGCAAAAGAATGAATTTATCTCGGAGTACTGCGGGGAGGTGAGTTGGAAGCCAGGGCCCCCAGCTGGTGTCGAGGGTGGGGCGGGTGCTCCACGCTGCTCCCAAAGTGAGGAGGTCTTTTGGCAACTTGAGGGGGGTGCGTGTCAGACCTCAGGGGGAGGGATGGAACCGTTTGCTCTTAGCGGCATAACTTTCCCAAGGATGAAACCTTCCCCTCCCCATGGGGGTGTGTGTGCGTGTGCCAGAAGCCACTCTGAAGCCTGATTTCTTTATAGATAGTGGGATGCTGCATTCCCATGGGGGGGGGGGGGAGGTAGTGGTTAGGTGCGATGAGTGTGACCTGCGTGACTGCTATTGGGGAGGGGGGTCCTTTCGAATTACCTATATTAACTGAACTCGCCAAAATTGTTAGTTCTGACACGGGATGCTTTAAGCTGGAACCAGCTTGCTTTTCTCAATAAGCCGATCTTTTGATGAAGAGAGAGTTGTTGAGAGTAACTTGGCCAGGGGTCTGCCAGGGGGAGCACCTTAGGGAAGACCTCTGCTTGGCTCGCAGAAGGTCCTGGGCCCAGTCCCTGGCAGCATCTCCCGTTAAAAGATCTGGCAGTAAGGGACATGGAAGACCTTTCTCTGCCTGAGGCCCTGGAGAGCCTCTGCCAGTCTGAGTAGGCTGCGCGGACTCTGACGGACCTGGGGGTGGGTGGGTGTTTCTGATTCAGTGGAAGGCAGCCTCACGTGTTCATCCACCTTCCTCACTCCTGCCAGGAAGCAGGACTAGGAGCAGGGGGGAAACATCCCCCTGTGAGGGGGGGAGGGTCTTCCTGAGGCACAGGGGGGTGCGGGGGGGGGTTGTCTGCAGTTGGCTCCCTTGGGGGCTCCTCCTCAGCTTGCACTCCTTTTCGGTCAGGATCATTTTGTCTGTAAATGCGGTCTTGCATCTTTCTTCAGCCTTGCTGCCTCTCTCGCCTAAGTGGGCTGCTGGGTGGGCATGTTGGGGCTGCTCTCGCTCTCTGTCAAGCTCTAGAGGGTTTGTGGGCCGTCACCCTCGGGGGGGGGGGCAGTCTGAGAGAGGAGTCCCAGCCGAGGAGTCCTCCGTTGCCTTCTCTCCCCAGCTCATCTCCCAAGACGAGGCGGATCGACGCGGGAAGGTCTATGACAAATATATGTCCAGTTTCCTCTTCAACCTCAACAATGGTAACGAGCCGTTTGGGGGGGCCACGAGGGCTCCAGAGGGGCTCCTTACGGCATCTTCGATTGACGGGAAGGCTGCGGGAGAGCGGGCGGGGAGGGGGCGAGAAGTCTTCTTGGGCCGATTTTGCTCACGCTCCGCTCCGTCTCCGCTCTCTCCTCTCTCTCCCCCCTGGGCAGATTTCGTGGTCGACGCGACCCGCAAAGGCAACAAGATCCGCTTTGCCAACCACTCTGTCAATCCCAACTGCTACGCCAAAGGTGAGAGGCTGTGAAGCCGGAGGGTCCCCTTGGCCCGCCTCTCGGCAGAGCCCGCCTGGGGAGGGCTGCGGGGGGGGGGAGCTCCGGAGGGGGGAAGCATCCCTCAGTCAGGCGGGTCTGTTTCCAAACACCACAGATGTGACGGCAGCCTTTTTATTTTTAAAAAAATAGAAAAGCCCCCAGACTTTGAAAGTCTTTCGCAGACTCTGGAGCAGCCTGAGGTGTCGAAGGAGGGCTTGGAGCAGGGATGTGAGGGAGGGGGCGTCCCCCTCGCTAACGCTGCCTCCCCATTTCTTGGGTGTTGAGAGATGCTGCCGAGGGCCACAATTACGGCTTAGGTTGCAACCTTTAATGCAGTGTGATGTAAAACGGAGGGGTGGGAATCCTCGCCTCCAGGGCGAGCACACACATTTCAGAAAGAAAGGATCAGGATTTTCCCAGGAGCCCATTTCTGGTCCCATCTGGCTTGAAAGTACTGTGCCAAAGGGTGTGTGTGTGTGGGGGGGGTTTGTCTGTGGAACTCTCTTCCCAGCTGGGCGGAGGCGCTGAAAGAGGGACTCAAGTGGCAGGCAGGCCCTTGGGAGAGCCAGTGACTGGCCCTCAGCAGCTGGGGGAGGGGGGGAGCATCATACAGCC